GGGACACCCTTAGTTAAAATAAAGTTTATTTTGCGTGCACCTTGGCGTGTTGTCTCTGCTTCTGGGTCCAGCTTGTGTGCTGAACTACAGTTCATGACACTCTGAGTGTATCAGGCTTATATCTTCATATGTTCTTCCTTAACTTCTTTAAATAAATGACTATTTTATAAAGAACTATAGAATTAGAATTATAGAAATTCAACCCAGACCCTAATCTGCATCAAAATATGTTGTTTTTTTTAAATTGTACTAAATTATTTTTCCCCAAGTCTTGACAATCAGGAAACAGAGAAACAAACAAAGAAATGATTCTAAATGAATCACTTTCTGAAAAAAACGTAGGGAGGGTCGAGGTTAGGGTGTTAGGGTTATCACCTGTGACGAGTAAGACCTCAGAGTTAATTGTTGGCTAAAGCCTTTATTTTATGTTTTGCTAAGAATTTGTGATTTGATTAGATAAATAACTTCGAAATTTGCATGAAGTTTAATTCTGTTACCACTTTGTTTCCTGTGTGTCCAGTTATTTAGTACTTAGTAACATAAAACCAGAGGACCTCCATTCCCACGTTTTCTGTCTTTCTACACTGAAACTTTCAAAGTAAATTAAATAAAAGAATTCAAACAAATATAACTGTTGAGCTTTTAACATGCACCAAACAACCAATCTATGGCTTGGTTATCATTTAAGTCACAGGTTAAAATGGCGGTTTGTCAGCAACAGTGTTACTTTTTAAATGAAGATTGAAACATTTAGGCGTTACAGTCTTCCTATTAATATATTTCCATTTGGGGATTTATTTCAGATGAGTCAAAGTAAAAGAAAAACGGGTGGAACCACATCTACACCTGTCCCAAACCCTTCGCCAATAACCTTGTGATGTTAACAGGGGTTTTTCTTCTTTGCTCGTTTGCTTGCTGGGAATTGTCTGACTGTATAAATGGATATTGCTATTATAGTTTTGTTCATGTAAAACAGTTTAAAAAGAAACGAGCCTTTAAAACTGCAGTATTTATGTGTATTTAGTTCATATGCGAACTGGTCATGATACTACAGAAAATGAGCAAATGATCATTTTCCCCAAGTCCACTATTTTAGCATCTTTCAGCTCCTTGTTTTGGTTTTAAGGCCTGAAAATTGTGTTGAATTCTGTGATTCACTCTCACCACTCTTATCTACTTTGTAGTACGTTACAACTGGAAGTGTTTTATTCTTTGCTTAATTCCCATCGCCACATGGATAGTGTTAGTAAGTGAACATAACGGAGCTAAAAGACGAGTGAATGCTGGATTTGCATCAGCTACGCAGCCAGGAGCACGATTACTAACAGCTTAGCAATATTGACTTCATCAAATGACAACATGTCGACTTCTGTTCTGTTCTTCCTGGCTGCAAAAAGTCGAAGCTTTTCTTGGAATAATTAGAATTGTTGTTGTGTGAGGGACAAAACTATGGCAGTTTAGCTTCAGGTGGCTAGAGGTTTTAACTTGTGTTTATTTGATCAGGTGGTTTCCTCTCACCCATAAACAGCCAGGTTTAGATCCGGGACACAGATGTTGTCATCTCCACAATCGAGCTGAATCTGGGCCTGAAAAAAAAAAGACAAAGATAAATGGAATAAATAGGAGCAGTAAGTTAGATTTGGTTCCTTGTAAAATCAAAAGGTACAGGGAGAGAAAAGCTCTGGAGGAAGTGGGTGTTGACAGAAGCCAGAACAACAGATTTGTGATTTAATGAAAGGATAAGAGAGGATACAGACTATACATATCCTCTATATACACACAAAAAACTGTAACAATATTTGCATCTACCAGATGCTGGGAAGTTGTGAGAAAACATGACCCTTTAATGTCTGTAGGGTAAAAGTAATACGTGCCTTACACGTATGTGGGAAGGAAGAAAAGGGAGAAAATATGGTGGTGGAAGGTTTAAGAGAATCAAAGCATAGTAATTCCATCTTAATTACATTTTTGTGGAAAAGTCTTTTTCAAAAACAGAGAAAAGCTCATATTTTAAAGGCAGTAGGGATTAATCTGCCCTTTGGTCTTACGTGACAGATGACCACAGTACAAGACAAATGTTATTTGATTTAGAAGTATAGTTTTTCTTTAACGTGCCCTTGAGCATTTTGCTTTATTCCCTCCTTTCTCCCTTTTTTCCCTGTCTTCTCTTCTCTGTTCTTCCATGTAGCTTTACTGTCATCGTAGCTGTGGCGTGTCTCTCCAACATATGGGAATCATTAGATTCCCAAAGAATGCAACAGAGAGCAAAGAATCAGCCTGGCAATGGTTAACAGTGTCTCAGTGGAGATCCCTGCTTCAATTTCCTAGTTTTACATTTATTTAGGACCCAAGATGCTATCGGCCATTTAATAACAAACATGCTTGAGTCTAAATGCTGTGCAGGTATACACCGTACACTTCTAAGCGTGAAGTCTCTTCCTGTTAAAACTCCCCCACAGTCACCTGTGTTTGCTAATATGAGTTCATTTCGACCGGCACTGGATTTATGTGCACAGACATAGAATTGGAGGATGGATGCAGAACGTAACAGAACTTCCCCTTCATCCGTTTTGGTTCCAACTGTAATAAAATTTAGCCAAGACCATGTAGTCAAAGTTCTTCCCATCTGCAGTATTTTATACTTGGCAGCATGGCTCTGCTCTGGGACATTCATGACTCAATGACAACAGATATGACACTGATAGAGGAGAAGCTGAGGTGGGTGGTAAAGCAGCTTGCAGATGTGCAGAACATTACAATTGCAAAGTGACCTTTGACCTTATGCAACTCAGTTCTTATGTGGGTAAGAACTGAGTTTAACTGAGCTGCTGTAATTATAGCTGCCTAAAATAAGTTACCATCCACGTGCACTGATAAAATTCATTCATGTAATCCATCCATCCATTTACTTTGGCTTATCCAGGTTGCAGCAGCCTAAGCAGACACCTCCCTCACATTCTGATAGTCTACACTCTTTGAGATCTTTGAGTTTGGCCACTTACAACTAAACACAGCTGCTTGACGGCCCAGTACTATATTGCGATTCTTTATTGCTTTCTACATAAGTACTCTGGGCCAGCCTTATATACTGAGACCATGACAGGGAAGTTAGAAAGCAAGCAACCTTAGGTAAGACGTAGGGTCAGAGAATTAGGTCAACATCAGCCAACATGTGTGAATGTGGTTAAAAAAAGAGTGGAATCTTTGTCTGATTTGGCCTGTTGACTGTTTGTGTTGGTGAGTGCAGTGCTGCTTATGGGGCGTCGCTGTGACTGCACCACTGAGAATAACATGCTCTGTAATACACTTACTAAGATCAAGTGATGAGCTCTAACCTATAATCTCTTCCTTCTAAAAACTCTTCATCTGTCGTTCACTTTCATCTCTTCCATTCTCACAAATGTAAAGCATGTTTCCCTCCAGCTCTTAAAGGAGCAGGCTATTCTACTGCCATCAACTTCGTGTTACAGTGAAAACTCCAAACAGCATCACAATTAGATCTGGCATAAGTTCAGTTTCAAAACAATTTACTGGAAATTAATGACCATAATAACCATTGACCCAGCGACATTATACAAAAGAGAAGATCTTACCTCCTCATCGTCAACAACCCTAACCTTAACGCTCATCCCAGATAAAAAGTTTTTATGAAATTGATTTCCCAAGTCTTGGTAATCAAGGACAAAGAGATATAATCATTTTCACAAACACTGTTGTTCTCCAAAATATAGAGTTAGGCTTAGACCTCAGAGGGTTAAAACTATATGCCATCAACCCTTCTTTAAATGCAAATACAATATACATATGCTCGATATCAAATACACAGTATTTCATTTTTTGAACTGCAAGACCTTCAAGAGCACATCAACAGCTTGGAAATGTACTGAAGAGACACATTCATCTGGACCCAAACACAAAGTCTCATAATGGTTTGGATAGA